TCCACCTGCCTCAGGATCCCCCAAACACTCTCTCCCAGCTTCATGTTCTCCTCCTCATCTCCCTTTTTACCCACTCCCTCCTTTTCTTTTTAACAACCCATTAAATCCAATTAGTGCTGCCCATATGTGCATGGGTGGGGGCATCCATTGGAGAATGGGAAACCTACCAGTAGCCACATCCTCAAAGAAAATTGACTGTCTCTTTCCCAGCAGCCATCTACTGCCAATAGCTCCTCTGATGGGGGTGGGGCCTCATGAGTTCCTCCCCCATCTATGCTGATATTTTGACTGGCTTGAGCTTGTGGGGGTACCTTAGCTGCTGTGAGTTCATGAGTGAGAGCAACAGTCATGTCATATCCAGAAGACAACACTTCACAGGCCTCCTTCCAGTCCTCAGCGTGTAGTCTTACTCCCTTCCAGGAGTTCCATGAGTCTTGGATAGGTTCATGATAAAGATGTTGTATTGAGAGCTGAGCACTCCCAGTCACTTATGCTCAGCACTGTGACCACTTATGAGTCTCTGCATTGACGGCTCCTCACTGCAAAAAGAAGTTTCTCTGGCTAAGGCTGAGAGCAGTCCAGGTCTATGGGTATTAGATGGCACAATGGCACTATAGGGACCAATGACTTCCCAGGATTTGAACAGTTTTGCTGTACTATGCATGCATTCCAAGAAGGTTAATGTTGAAAGGAAAATTGAATCTTGGAGAATTGTTTGTAAATATGGGAAGCACATGGAAAATGTGGGGTCATATACTTTTTGGTGTGTTTCCATTCAAGTAACACCACTTTTACATGTTGTTATTTTTCTTTCCTGTTACAAAACCAGACTTGCTCCTTGGTTCTGTAAGTGACAGTTTGCTAGTGGTCTCATTCAGCCAGCCCTAGGAAACGGGCTCCAGCACATGCCAGGCCCTCATTCCATCACACAGTAGCCCTGCATCCTTTGCCTTTGATCAAGCTTCATGGCAGTCACGTTGAGAGTTTATTACTAATGTTATTAGTTTCTAATCAGAGATGACTGTGATTATCACCTAATAGTTATTGCTTTGCACTTCCATCCAGATGTCAGATATAATGAGCCAATAAAACTGCTATTAATTTAGACCCAATGACAATTTTAGGCCTTCTGAGCTGAAGATTAGGGGGTCCTATAAGAGCAGAGCACAACAGAGTATTCAAAAGTAATAACGAAAGTAAAATAGTTGGAATATGAGTGAATAGGTGTTTCTGGCTTAGAAAGGAAATATAGCTTAGAATATCAACATTTCTGTTTGCTGCTGAGATGACGGAAACACTCCACAGGAGAGTCGGACTTTCTAGGACCTGGACAGACTGGCTAAGAAAGTTGGCTCTTTAGCAAAGACACAGTCTGTCTTAGGTTTGTTTGTCATGGGTCTTGAGAACAAGGGGCCACAGCGGTGGTGGTGGGAAGAGGGCTGCTTTCCCCAGTATCACTGAGAGCGCAGTGAAGGATGCTCTTCCTCTGCCAGGCTCAGATGTTTCCTGATGGCCACAAACTGAGCTGTGTCCCACACTCCCGCCACTATTGCCCAAAGAAATGAAGCTAGCCAGCCTTGGACCAAATCAACTGCAACTGAGTATGACTAAATCTTCCCCCCTTTGATGAACTCGAGTGTTTTGCCACAGTGGTGGAAAGCTGGCTGGGGTGTCACCTTTTTGTGGTGGTGTCATTGAAAATTTACTTCCATGGTAAGTTTTCTGTTAATTTTATACTGCTTATATTTTTAGCATATATATCAATGACACATCACACTGTTTCATTATGACAGTTTTATACATTTGTAGGGTACACTTTGATCATTCCCACCCTGTTTCCCTCTTTTCTTCTCCCCCAGCCCTGCTTGTCCCCGTCCTCTTCCCAGCCAGCTCTTTCCTACTTTCATGTCTTTTTGTGGTTCTTACTGACCCAGTGACTTTAAATAGATTTGTTCACAGAAACATGGTCAACTTACCAGTGGATGCTCCACTGAAGAAAACGTCTCCACTCTCTTTAACATTTAGCTCCTTGTAGATCTCACAGAAGGATGGGATTTCATGAGCCCTTCTCTCCTCCACGACACTCCTGTGACCCCCTGAGACATCCAGACCTTTTAACCCTCCATCACTGCTCATTTTTTTCTAACCAGCATCCCTTGTTTCCCCTTCTCCTCCCACTCCTGGAACTCAAAGAAGTGGCTGTTTTGAGCTGGCTTGGATTGCTCTGCCTTTTTATACAATGATGCACGGGCTGCTACACAGCTCAGTCTGGTTCTTGCCTCAGTGGGTTGCTCCTCCAGACCAAAGGAAGGTCAGCATTGCTTTTCCCTGCTGGGACTGCGATGGTCTCAGTGCTGTGGTAAAGACACTGGGAGCCCAGGGTCCGTATTCTTGTCTCTGTCTCCTTGGCTGTGACTCCACTATGCCTTATTAGCATATATAAATGTGGTGGGGGTGTGGGGGTGAGTGGATGTGGGCATGCCTATGACCTGATATGCAACTGGTGGTCAGGGAGCATCAGGTGTTGGTCCCTATCATCCACCTTGTCTGACAGAAAGTCTTGTTCACTGCTGCGTGCACAAGGCTAGTTGGTCTGTAAGCATCCAGGAATTTTCCTTCCTCTACTTCCCAGATCTGGCTTACAGACACACACTGCCGTGTTTGGCATTACACGGGTTCTGGTAACACAAACTCAGGTCCTCATGCTTGCACAGCAAATGCTTGACTGGGAAGGTCATCTCTCTAGCCCCCCATGGCTCATTCTTCCCTTGGGATCCCTGGGATTCTGCCGGCTTAGAGCCACTGCATGTTCAAGTGGGCTGTGAGAGGACACAGCAATCCTTTTATTCCAATCTGTTTAAAATCCATTCTAAGTCCAGAAGAGGGGAATGATTTTAAATTGATCTGAGCAGAGTTTGCACATGTTCAACACAGCTAACTTTTCCTTCGGTGCCCTGCTTGAAGCACGGCTTGCTAATTGAGTTGTCTGCTTGGCTTGATGTCTTTTGCTGCTGTCGAAGGAGAAATCAATGTTAGTATTTCCTCACTGTTAACCATCTGTCTCAAACCAATGTTTTCCCTCTCCCTCTCTCCATGGTTTTGTTACCTGTGCATTTTAGTTGTGCCTGGAACTTATGGAGGGGTGCGGGTGCGTGTGTGTGTGTGTGTGTGTGTGTGTGTGTGTGTGTGTGTATGTGTGTGTGTGTGTGTGTGTGTGTGTGTGTGTGTGTGTGTGTGTAAGGGGTGTGGGGTTTGTCTGTTGTGAAGAACACATACTTTGTAATGACCCTGCATTCCTCATCTCATCGAGAATCAGTGTTTGTGATAGTTTATCCTGCTCAGCTCATGAATAACACCCTCATTATCTGATAAATGAAGATTTGTTTTGCAGCTTTTTTCATAGGTAATTGATTCTTTTCAGGGTATTCTTGCATGTTTTTTTTCTGTGAGGGGAGGAGACGTTTACCCAGTGTGTGCTTGGATGAATGTACTAGTCACTGAAGCATCCTTTGATGGCCATGTACTGATGACCATAGATCTCTGTGGCTTGCTTCCCCCTGGACCAGGTTGGAGGTTCCCTCCCTTTGCTTGTCAGGATGTTCCCTGAACATCTGTCCTGTTGTGTCTCAGCCCTGTGGGTAGAGTGTGGAGAATATCTTCTGAATTGTGGGTGAATAGCTGCTATTTCTGCTGGCAGGACCTCTCCTTCTCCCCCTTGCCCTTCATTTAGTTTTTTAAAGTGTTTTTTTCAGTATTTAATTATCTATTTTTTGCATATGTGTGTATGTATGTGCGTGTATAAACTTGTGTGTGCAGGGAGAGGTATATGCATGTGTGCATATTCATGTGGAGACCAGAGATCAACCTTCACAGCAAATGCTTTATTGACTGAGCCATCTTCCCCATCCCTCAAAGCTCACTACTCCTCTAGGAGTGTATGATCCCAACTCTTTAGCATGATTTTTGTAGCCCCCTATGATCTGTCTGGTTCTTGTCTCCTTGGCCTTACTTCCTGGATTCTATGCTAGGAACTTCAAGGTTTTGTCCTGCTGAGCTGCCTTGAACATCCTGAAAACACCTCCCAGAGATTTCATTGTGAACTGCTCCTCAGCATTTTACTCCCCACCAGCCCCGATCCCTTCAAGGCTGAGTGCTGGGGATCCATCTCTGCTTCCTAGGGTGTTACCACTTTCTGCCTTTCATATCTATGTTTTCTGCCTTTAGACTCTGAGAACCTCAGTGGAGCTTTGGGTTACCTGCCCCACTTGCTGTCATCCAGCATGTGGCCTGCTGTGTAAACATGATCAACTATGGCTCACCAAATGCTGTCTTTTCACATCTCCTCTGGAAATTCCCTTCTGTTGTGTGACTTTTTGTGGGATATATGAACAAATGTCATCTTAATAGGATATCAATGACAGATCAAAACAAACAAACAAAAAAAATGGATTCTACTTGAGTCGAGCTGAGCAAATTAGTGAGTTTGTTGTTGTTATTTAAAGAAGTATGGGCGACTCAAAAGTCAGCTGCTTCACTGAAATCCCACCTCAGCACCACCTAGAAGAGCTGCACCACTGGGGGTTTCTGTGTAGTCCATATGTAGTCTGGCTGGTGAGAAAGTCTCATCTCCCTGCCAATTATTACTGTGCCTATAACCTGGGGGTTTTGTGGATCTTGTAAGTTTCAGGAGTTTCTGAGACTTGTAAGTTTCATGTATGTCCTGCAGTTATTTGAATGAGAACTGTCCCCAATAGGCTCATATATATAAAACACTTGGTACATAGTTGGTGCCACTGTTTGGGCAGGTTATGGATCCTTTAAGATGTTTGGTTTTACTGGAGGAATTATGTAACTTTAGGGTCTGGCTTTGAGGTTTTATATCCTGGTGCACTCGCTGCTCCTTCTCTCTGCTTCCTGTGTGTGGATGAATGTGATCAGCCAGATTCTTGCTCCTGTTGCCATGCTTTCCCACCATGGTAGACCATATCCCTCTGGAACGATAAGCCAAAATAATCACATCATTGTTTAGTTGTTTTTATCAGAGCAGTTTATTGCAGCAACAGAAAATACATTAGTATACTTTATTGGTCTTAATGTTTTAATTATGAGGAAATAACTATACAGCAACTTCATATGCCTGTCTTCACTTCTGCAATGAAGGCACATTGCCACTTTTTCACAGATGAGTCACTTAGGAAACAGAGAGGTTAATAGATTATCTATAGTGGCTCAGAAGCCAAGTCTCTTGTTCTTTGAAGCTTCTGTTCTTTGAAGCTTCTGTTCTTTATGACCTTGGTTCATGGTCTTCTCTCTACTCTTTGCTTCTGCTCCTACATGCTGAGAGTTCCTGGTGCAGGATTTCATGCCTCTATCTCACTGCTGTAAAAGAACGTGGTGAACTCTGCTCAGTGTGAAGCTGTCCTGGGCATGGCTGGCTGTCTCTGTTCTTCCTGTGAAGATTCTGTGTCCCTCTGCCCTCCTCTGGTCTCACGAGCAGAGTTCTATGTACTCCTTCTTCACCCCCTCACCTGAGTGTGCTTTGTGGAAGGTCCTTAGATGAGGGAGATAAGGAAGAGAGCTTCCTGGTTGTGCTCCTCAGAACAGGGCTCTGAAAACTCTACCAAGTCTCTGTATGGTGAACATTTCATACCTTGTGGCTCTAGAGACAAAATGAAGGAGATGATTTGCATTCAGACAGTTTCCAACTTAATAGGGTTCAACTTACAAGATTCCAGTCACGTGACGGTGCAAAAGTGGTATATGTTCAGTAAGAATTGTATTTCCAATTTTGAATTTTTGTTTGTATTCTTCCTTAATTGCCATCAGAAACCGGTTTCTTCAGCCTTCCAACATGGACTGAAGACCAGCTGCTATCCAGAAAATTTCCAGGCTTTAGTAATCTGATTGTGACTACTGAGATGCCAGCCTTAGGAACTGACCAGCTACAGGGTTCTCAGTCTCTCCTGCCAGGAAATGGCCATTTGTGGACCACTTTGTATCATGTTAGCCAACATAATAAATCTATCTGTGTAATACACGTTTGTTTTGTTGGTTCTTGCTGTGGGATGTTCTGTATGTTAAATGTGTTATTCTGATTGGTTAATAAATAAAACTCTGATTGGCCAGTATCCAGGAAGGAAGTATATGCATGGCAAGGAGAGAAGAGAATTCTGGGAAGTGGAAGGCTGAGGCAGAGAGATGCTGCCAGCCGCCGCCGTGAGAAGATGTTAAGATACCAGTAAGGCACAAGCTACGTGGCAACTTATAGATTAATAGAAATGGGTTAATTTAAGATATCGGACAGCTAGCTAGAAGGCTGCCATGGCCATACAGTTTATAAGTAATATAAGTCTCTGTGTGTTTACTTGGTTGGATCTGAGCAGCTGTGGGACTGGCAGATGAGAGAGATTTGTCCTGACTGTGGGCCAGGCAGGAAGACTCTAGCTACAGGTTCTGCTCCTCTAGAGAGCTCTGGGTAATAGATCATCTTTGTTACTTCCCACAATGCTGCCCAAACCATCAGCTGGTGTCCTTATCCAGGCTTTTCTCAGCAGAACTTTTGTTTTTTGGAATATTATGGATACTACAAATCATGTGTATGCCCATATGATTTTCATGGCCATCCCCTCAAGGAGGAGATTTCTTCATTCATTTAGCCATGTACTGATTGAATGTCACCCATGTGGCCAGAGAAATAGCTCAGTCAATAAAGCACTTTTCCTGTAAACTTGAAAACCTGAGTTGGATGTCCAGAACCCATGTTTAAAAAAAAAAGCCAGGTGTGGTGGTGGATGTTTGTATTCCCAGTGATGTGGATGCAGAGACAAGCAGATCCCGGGGACTAGCCAAGTGAGAGACTCTTCCTCAAAAATTAATATGGGCAAAACCTGCAGAACCACATCATAAGTTGACCTCTGGACTCCATGTATATCTGCACACATACCACAGAAATGTACTATCATCATGCACACCATGCACACCATGCACACTCACATACTATACCACACACACATACATACATGCACTCACATGTGTATGCACACACATGCATGTACAACTTCTCAGATGATATAGGGGGCAAAAAGGCATCATGGATGAGGACTGAGAGGGCTCTCCAGTAGCAGAGCATGTGTGGATGCATGCAGGGAGGACAGAAGCCTTGGTGTGGCTTAAGAGCAGTGTGCTTGTGGTACCAGAGGTAATAAAGTAGTGTGTGGAATGACAGATAATTCTTGAGGAAGTAAACAAAGGCCAGATCATAAGATATTGATGTTGTTGTTTGTTTTCACTCTTTATACTATTTGTCTTTTTGGGGGGCCCACCACCCAGCTCCCAAATAAATCACACATGGAGGCTTATTCTTAATTATAAATGCCCAGCCTTAATTTGGCTTGTTTCTTGACAGCTTTTCTTAATTTTAATTTATCCCTTCTACCTTTTGCTTCTGGGCTTTTTACTTTTCTTACTTCTGTAATCTTATTTTCACCCTTACTCCATGGCTGGCTGTGTGGCTGTGTGGCTGTGTGGTTGGCCCATGATGCCTTCCTCTTTCTCTGGCTACTTCTTCTTTTCCTCCCAGATTTCTCCTCCTATTTATTCTCTTTGCCTGCCATCCCCACCTATCCTTTCTCCTGCCTCGCTATTGGCCATTCAGCTCTTTATTAGACCATCAGGTGTTTTAGACAGGCAAAGTAACACAGCTTCACAGAGTTAAACAAATGCAACATAAAAGAATGCAAAACATCTTTGCATCATTAAACAAATGTTCCAGAGCATAAACAAATGTAACATATCTTAAAATAACATTTCACAACAGATGGGTTTCCCAGGAAAATCTATGGAAATTAGAGATTTTAATCATGGGATGCATGTAGCACTGCTTAAAGTAGAAAAACCACTTCCAGCAAGGCAAGGTGGTACATCCCTCTAATATTTTCACTTGGAAGGTAGAAGTTTGAGGATCAGGAATTCAGGAATCATCATCAGGTCAGTTGGAGGCCAGTCTGAGCTACAAGAGATCCTGCAAAAAAAGAAAACCAAAATCAAATAACAACCCCCCAAACCTTCATAATGGAAAACCCCCAAACCAAACAAACAAACAAACAAACAAACAAAAAACAATGAGCTTCCATGCCTGATGTCACTAGACTGAACTGACTGGGTCAAAGTAGAGTCTGAGAGAATGACAGAAAAGCTTTATAATCTCAGGTTGGCCCAGGCATGGCTTATATGTGAGAAGTGGACCCCTGGGAGGTGGTGCCTTGCTCTGAAACAAGCTGGTTGCTGAGACCCCAGATGATGCTTTCATTTCACAGACGGAAACATGAAAGAGGTAAGGCAGTTAACAGCGGTACAGTGTCTGTACCCTGGGAAGTCAACGGTTCTCTGCAGCATTTATCCAGCACCTTGGAGAGCGCCCGTCAGCAGGCCTGATTTGAAGGAAAGGGCAGTCTCCTCAAAGGTTAATTGTTACCCTTAAGATAAACGCGAAACAAACTGCATTGCACATGTTTAATAAGCGTCTGCTACAGCATTTCCCTGAAGGCAGTTCTGGGTGATTTGATTTCAATAAGGAATTGTCCAGAAATAAAATGCTCTTGGCCATGTCTAACTTGGAGAAAGCATAATACACTGTCTTCCTGTATGATTTAAGAAAGACTTTTTCTTCTTCTGAAATGTCCTCCTGCCCCATTTATTTCTCAGAAAAAAAAAAAAAAACAAGGGAAAAAATCCAGATAGTAACTTGTGGCTGAATTCTTGGGTTTTGCTCCATGATAGCTAAACAAGCCTTCAGAATCTCATCCTTGGCCATCTTCTCTCATCTTCTCTTTCTTCCTCAGCAATCTCCTCCACCTCAAGTGACTGGACAGTCTCCCTCTGACTCTGTCCTGTCCTCTCCATGGTGGCCCAAGAGCCTTCCAGGATGCCCGGCAGATGTTGCCATACAATTTGCTTCATCAAGATTGGTATCTGTTTAGCTGTAATTATGCCCTGATTCCTCCCTCCCACAGAGCAATTTCTTCCTGTCTATGCTTGCCTTGCCCTGAGGCTTGAATCCACATTCATTGTCTACCCAGAACCCTGTCTACTGGGGTGCCAACTCCCATTGATTTTTCCTCACAATCCATTTTAGGGTTGTCTCTTTTCAATGTGGAACTCATCGTCCTCTTCAGTACCTCCGTCTTGGATCATTATAGTAATGTCCTCATGTGTGTTGTAGCTCATCCATTATCCAGAGACACAGGATACATTTTTTTTTTTTTTGCTGCTGTCTTGTATATGGAATAAGCTGTGGCTTGACTGTTTTGTGTATTGCCAAACTCATTGTGAAACTTAATCCTCAGTGGATCCACGCTAGGAGATACTTAGGTCAAAAAGGCCCTACCCCATGAATAGATCAATGCTCTTAGAGAGAACTTTGTAGAGGGATTGTTCTCTCTGCCTTTCCACAGTTTATCATGTAAGGTGTAACAAGAAGGCCCTTTGTCTGGGCTGGGGAAATGGATGTCAGTAAAGTGCTTGGTATGCAGGCATGAGGGCCAGAGCTTGATCTCCAGAATCCACATTTAAAAAGAAGCAAACAAATAAGCCCAGGTGTTGGTGATGGTAATCCCAGCACTAGGAAGGGAGAGAGATCTCTGGGGCTCACTGGAGAACTCAGGGTCAGTGAGGGACCCTGCTTCAAATGAAATAGGGTGGATGGAATACTGAAGAACACTCAAGGTTGTCTCCTCTGACCTCACACATAAGTTCACAGAAGTACGTATGCACCTACACACACCTATACACACACACATACACACAAAAATCACATTTTCCAGTTATCAGTACTCTGATTTTGGACTTTCCAACCATAGGAACCATGAGGAAATAAATTTCTTTTTAAATAAATTGACCAATCTCACATTTTCTAGCAGGACAAAATGAACAAAGATAGACCAGGATGTTGCTGTAATACCTACACATATACAACTGACTTTAGAATAGGCAATACATAGAGGCCAGATAATCTCCAGTGCAGGAGAAGTTCCTCTTGTTATGAATCGATCATTAAGGATGGTTCTTCTTATATGATATTTTGTTGTGTTCTAACAAATAAAGCTTGCCTGGAGATCAGAGGGTGAAGTTAGACACTAGCTAACCATAGAGGCCAGGCCATGCTGGCACACACCTTTAATCTCAGCTCTTGGGAGGAGGAAGTAAGAAGATCAGAAGTTCAAGGCCACCCTGGGATACACGAGATTGAACCAGTCTAAAAGAGAAACAGAGCCAGGCAGTGGCGGTGCATGTCTTTAATTCCATCACTAGGGAGATGGAGACAAGAATGTAAGGTGGGTGGAGACAGGATCTTGGCCCATTTAGTCTGAGGATTTGTAGAGACAGGATGTCCCCCATTCGATCTGAGATTTTGTAGAGGTAAGAAGTCTCTAAGTGACTGCTGCTCTGTTTCTCTGATCTATCAGCTTTCACCCTAACATGTGATTCCAGGTTTTTATTGTTAAGACTAATTAGGATCACACTTCAGGTTCTGATAAGGACACAGAAAAGGCTACAGGGAAAGTTTGAAACTGGCTAAAGATTACATAGGTAGCAGGCATCAGACAACAGAGCTATAGACAGTAATGACCATTCGGACAAGATCTCAGCCAGACAGCAGAAGAGCTATTGGAGAAAGGCTGTTCTTGTGATACAGTGGGCTAAGAGGGACTCAGTCCATAAAGTGAGTTTCAAAGCTGGGCATGATGGTTTATGTCTGTAATCCCAGCACTGTAGAGGTGGTCACAGGAGGATCTCTAAGGCTCACTGGCTAGTCGCTCTGCTGAACCAGTGAACTCCAGACTCACTCAGAGACCCTATCTCCAAAGATAAAGAAAAGTCTTGCTGGAGTAATGGCTCAGCATTTAAGGGTAGGGTTTTTCTTGCAGAGGACTCAGATTTGATCCCAATAATAGCTCACAACTATCTGTAACTCCAGTTCTAGTATATCTAATGCCCTCTGCAGATACCAGGCACACATGTGGTGCACATACATACATGTAAGCAAAACATTCATATACACAAAATAAAAATAAATTTTAAAACTTAAAAAAATAAGGTGAAAAGCAATTGAGGAAGACACTTGTTGATCTCTGGTCTCCATACAAGTGAAGGCACACACACATACACACACACACACACACACACACACACACACACACACACACACACACAAATGAAAGTAAATCTAAAACTCCAGTATTTGGAGGTGGTCTTGGAGGCCTCATCCTTGTTCTCCACCAATGATCTTTAAAGAACAGTGGAGGGACTTGCTATCACTTGCTTTTTCACTTCGCTGGTAGGTGGTAGAGCAAGAAGGCCCTCACCGTCTGCTGGTTCCTTGATCTAGCCTCTAGAAGATAAGTTTCTCTTTTCCTAAAGTATCCAGCCTATGTGTTCTGTTGTAGCGGCAGAAAATGTACTCAGGGCAGGGAAACCCGGGTTCTGGTTTCATTGTCCTTTAGTGTTGATTTCTCACAGACTTTTCTTTTTGACAACCCCTAGCACTTCCGCTTCCCCAGCTGAGGCCCATCTCTCTTCTTCAGTGTCCTTGCTGCTGCTGTTTCCCTGAGCCCTGTGTGGGAGTCTTCCCTCTTCTGGGTGTGAGGTGGGCATTCTGGATTGGTGCTGTGGGGGCTCCCAGCCCAGTGTCTTCTCTGATATAATTTCTCATTTGGAGGGGGCTGTGTACTACAGCTATTTGTGCCATTTGTGTCCATGGCCTATGTGGCTGTTAATACTGTAAACTTGGGACCTGGAGATGTCTGTTTGAGAACTTTTAGATTGGGTTAACCGACAGGGGGAACTATCCTAAATGTGAATGGCACTGTTTCATGGGTTGGGTCCTGGACTGGATACAGAGGAGAAGGTGAACTGAGCACTAGTGTTCATCGATTTCTGCTTCTTGACTGCAGATGCCATGAGACCTCACACTCCTTTTACCGTGACTCCCTGTCACTGTGGGCTGTTATCCTGAACTGTGAACCACAATAAACCCCCCTCCCTTTAGGTGCATTTATCAGGTGTTTTTTTTTTCCACATTAATGAGACAGTAATTAATGTAGGCTATTAATCCTGTTGGATGACAATGTATTTACCTTATCATCCCCACAATTAAACATTCTATATTTCTGTTTTATTTATTTAATTCTACTCCAGAATACAGAAGATCATTCCTTCATCGTTAGTGTCTGGATAACATTAAGTGGACCCTAAACATTTACATAAACATAGTCCAAGGATTCAATTTCATAGACTGTGTGAGTCCAGAACTCTCTGCATAATTTCTGTAATTCCATATGAAAATCTCACTGGAGCCAGACTGAGTTCCTTCACTGACCTATACAAATTTCTGCCTGTTCACAGTTTTCCTTAAAAAGTCTGCTAAAATCCAACTCATAGCTTGCCATTTTGAGCTGTTTGTTTCTTTTTCTTATTTGCTTTGTTTCTATGTTAGTTAGGAAAGAGCCACTATTGACCACTTAATTTTATTTTTCCTCCCTCGATTATGATACATAAAATTTCCCCTCCTTTTTTCGGTTAATAATTTTAAGTTGGGCCTTGCTGGATCACAAATATTATTGCAGACTTGTAGCATGAATCTAAAATGGTCTTATTAATAAAATCAAACCATGAGGAGGGTGGTGGTGATTACCCAATGGTATTTGGCTTAATAGGTACAATGTAGTATCAGAGAAGTGTGAAAACGAGTTAAACTACTAATTTCCCTATTCACATATGCTTTTTAAAAACCCACACTAGCTTTTCTGAAAAATATTTTAAGTTTTTTTTATTTATGTTTTTATGTGTGTAAGTATGTGTGTGAATATGTACATGTGTAGAATAGGTACCCCGGAGGCCAGAAGAGGGTGACGGATCTCTTGAAGCTGGAATTATAGGTTGTTTGGAGCAATCTGCTGACATGGGCTCTGGGAACCAAACTTGGGGCCTGGGCATGAACAGAAAGTGCTCTTAAATTCCAAA